TCTTCCTCCTGTTGGGTCAAAGACAACACGAGCTCCTAATGCTGGGCTTGGGAGGTGCTTTGCTGCCTGGAAACGTATATGCTTCACAGTACATGTGAGCCTTTCCCTTTGTTGTTATATTCACCTTTTGCAAAGATTTGACTTTGAAATAAGGAATAATAACCTTATAATTTGCTGTAGCACACGCACAGGTTATGAGTTGTGACGTGGGAAATGGTCCTCTTCCATTGAGCAGCACGTCGTACTTTGCTATTATTCTGCCTGTTGCTTCCCCTTTGAAGGTGAAAACAGCTCTGGAGAGGATGCACCTCAGCCTGGCTGTTGTCAGGTTGGGGCTGCACAGCTACTTTTTCCCTGGAAACCTGTATCGTGGTTCTGGGCTGTCCCTGTTGGTTCCGTTGGCCTGGGTTAGCCAAGCGAGGTTAAAAATAACGTGTGTCGGCTCTTGAACCAGCGCCCTCGGATGCCTTGCGTGAACTGGGCTGCCTGCTCGATTTTGCTCGAATTAGGGCACGCTGTGCCGAAGCCTGGGTGACCTGTCTGCACCAGGCAGTGGCTCGGGATCATTCCCACAAGGAATCCTCCCTTCCCAGCTGCTCCTACTCCTCTTTGCCCCGGCAGCACCGCAGCATTCGTATGGCTGTCCTGGGAGAAGTAGGGTGGCTCTCACCTAGGGACTGGTGCCAGATCCATTCCAACCAGGGCTATCTACATCTCCCAAAAAATCTTTCTTTGCTGTTCTGTCTTAATAGTGACACGCAGTGGCGGCATAACACAACGGAGGCTTATGAGAGCAGTGTTGTACAAAACCATACCAGTAAGAACATGCTAGATGGTTCATTTTAAAGACAACACTAACAAGTCTAAAACATTTAGTTGCTGTACACTGGAAAAAAAATGAAGCAAAAAGGCCACCACACTGCACAGGACTATGTTGTTTGTGTACCGTGGGGGGCCAAGCTGGTAGTTGTAATGCCTAACGAGTTGCAACATGTAAAAACTTGTTATGGCATGTGACAATTTTTAACCATTGCAAATTTTTCTATTAATGCATGAAGACCTTACCGAGTTCTCCTGCATTCGTGGTGGTAACCCTCAGTGGGGATTTCTTCGTTTATCCCCCAGGTAGACATGCCACAGCTTGGGCTGAAGGCAAAACACAGCACTTAGGAGAAAATTGCAAGTCCTTTGCAAGATAATGGCTTTTTTCCCCCCTCTGTTTTCCAACATATAACATCTAAACAGTCTCATCTTGTCAGCGATAATCTTGATGATGAATAACCAAGACTGTTCTTGTTAACATGCGATACTGTTCTCCCAGACCTGCCATATGTTGTACACGTGCAGGTCTGCTCCAAAGCCTCCTGTTGGGATGCCTGCCAGCGAGCAAGCATTATATCCATCACCAGATAGAACCCAATATCAAACATAATGTTTATAGGTATTTGGTTCCGAAAGGACAGCACGGCAGTACGAAGATGCCTAATGAATGCAATAGATGACATGGACAGGAGTAGCCCCTCAGCAGTCTTCTGGAGGTTAGCACATTTTTCCAGGTGGCTGAGTCAGGGTCTCGGACGTTCCTGTTGAGAGGTCATCCCTGGGTGACGTTGAAAGCAACAGGAAATGCTAACACTTATTTCCTAATCTCCAAGATCTTTGTGGCTTTTTGGCTGGACGGGACAGGCAGACCACGCAAATAGATTCTCCCTTATATAATGTGTGATGTGGCAGCTTGATAAAGAGTGGTAACAGCCAAAGTTACAGGATTTGCATTGCCTGGGGTTTTCACTTTTGCAGAAATGGATCCTTGGTTAGAACACCTCCTTAATTATACTGTCGGTACAGTGTGCGCTTTTCTCTTAGGCTTTTCTCTTCCATCTGTTGCATGTTCTCTGGAAAGTGCTACCGTTTCATTACCTCTTTCCTTTCTTCCTCTCTTCCCCTGGCATTGTGTTGGGGAACAGAATGCAGCCCCTCAGCATATGGTACAGATGAAGGAAGAAAACTAACTGACATGTAATAAAAGGAGAACTGGAACACTGCACTGCTCGTTAATTCCCCGTCGTGTACCCAACGCAGTGAGTTCAGTAACAGACGCTGCGATAGCCCCTGTGCTGCCTCCTCCTTCCTCCTTCCTCTCCTTACTTCCATCTCCTGCTGCAAGGGCTGTTTGCCCCTCCGGGCTGGGGCTCAGCCCTCTCCCACCAGATTTGCTCTGCTCCTGGCCACACGCACATGTCAGGCTATGCCATCCCCAGGAGGTGGGTGACTGAGCGTGGTGGGAAGCTGGGCATGGATGGGGGAAAAGGAAGAAGCAGCACATTTGTCTAGGAGAGACAGGCTGGTGGACTGAGACACCTGCAAATCGAGCAGATGCCTTTGCTGAGCTCTCAGGTCCTTCTGGAAGAGCAGAGAGGCACCCACGTAAGCCAGACATGAGCACAGGGTTTCGTGACAAGCATATCAAAATAAATTAACAGAAGTTAGGCTCCTTTCAAAGTGTGTCTATATGTTAGAGCCATGAGGGAAGGGGAGTTCCAGTTATCCATAGGCATTATTTCCTCTCCCTTGGGCACAGGAAGCTCCTGACAGGATCTTGCCATGAAGTTCAGCAAAGGTGTCAAAGGTAATCTGAAGTAAACTCCTGTTTCACTCTAACCAAAACTGAAGAACTGCGAAGGGGTGGCTAGTTCTTTTCTGGTGCTGTTAGGTGGGATTTACCCTCATCAAGACAAAAAGTTGTAATAACTGAGCTTGTTGCCCTGAGGCAGACCTCTAATTGACACACTACACGGTTTGCATGGGCATGGGTTTGCTCTGCATCTGGACAGGACCAGGGTTCTCCTTCCAGTTGTGTGGTACCTGCCTGGCTTTTTTCTATCTGTCAAGGATTCTTCTCTGCTCTTAGGATTTCTCAAGCTTAGGATCTTTTTTCCCAGTGCCCTTCTGACTCTTCTCCCTCTCTTCTCCCATGCAGCAGCTGTGTAACAGGAGATGAACTTTTCCTTCTACCCACCCATTCTCTATTCTTTTCTTCAACTGCAAAAGCCAGTTCCCTTCCTTGCTGATGGAGGAGGTAGAAGACTATCAACCAGGTGTCCACAGTCAGCTCAGCCTGGTGATCTGGGAGACTGCCCATCTTCAGCAGAAAGCTGTCTCTGCTTCATTTATATATACATAGTATTTCATGCTAGGTGATGAAGCAGGAGTTTGTGACCAAATTTCTGTGCGGAAGTCGACAGAGGTCAGGGGGCTGGCTTTCTGTTTGTTTGGTTTTGGCTTTTGAGTTTGTGGTAATGTGCACTTGGTTTTGCAACAGAAAGTGCAACAGTAGGCATGTATGAATGACCCTTGGCAGGAGGGTCCGTGCTCCACAAGTGAGCTCAGGTGCTTACATGGAGATAGGGTGGCCAGTACTTCCCCTCACTGTGCCTGATAACCTGGGCTCAAGGCAGCCCAAGAGTTTTTAAAGATCCTTAAGTGAACCTCCCACAAAGTAATGGAGCAGCTGAAAGACATGAGGCTTCAGCATTTCCAGTTTGAGAAACCTGTAGGAACTGGAAGGCAGAGACAGCGTTTGTCCCCACAATGTCCATCCCTGTGGCTCTCTTCCTTCCCCTAGGAGCGGTGCTCCCCGCAGGCTACAAAGATGATCCAAGGGCTGGAGCACCTCTCCTCTGAAGACAGGCTGAGAGAGCTGGGGCTGTTCAGCCTGGAGAAGGGAAGGTTCTGGGGAGGGAGACCTTCTAGCAGCCTTCCAGTACCTGAAAGGGGGCTTCAAGAAAGCTGGAGAGGGACTTTTTGCAAGGGCACATAGTGATAGGACAAGGGGTGATGGCTTTAAACTGAAAGAGGGGAGATTTAGATTAGATCTAAAGAAAAAATTCTTCACTCTGAGGGTGGTGAGGCACTGGAACAGGTTGCCCAGAGAAGCTGTTCAAGGCCAGGCTGGATGAGGCTTTGAGTAACCTGATGTAGTAGAAGGCCCATGGCAGCAGGGCTGGAAGATGATCTTTAAGGTCCCTTCCAACCCAGACCATTCTATGATTCTAAGACTTGTCATTTGGTACCTGTAAGCAGATCATTCAAAAAGTGCAGCTTTTAGGCTAGTGGCTGAGGCTGTCCCCTCTCTGGAGCCAAGCACAAGGAGATTTGGCTTTCAGCGAATTCTTAATTTCTCAAAACATGCATTTTCAGTACAGGACTTTCTGCAGAAGGATGTGCCAAAGCATCCATGCAGCACCAGTGGTAATAAATAAGCTGTCAAGCTGAACGGCTGTCATCATGGCTGTTATATCTTTTTATTGACTGATATAATTTGGATTGCAGTCTGACTGACTTCTCTCCTTTTTTCATCTTCAAAAAAAAAGAAAAAACCAAAAAAAGCCTTTCTTTATCTAGGATGGAGGTTTCACTAAGCTGTCTTCCAAATTACATCAGCCTTAAAAGATAGTACATAATGGTGCAATTGCCTGGAAGTATAAGAACTGAGGCAGCATACACAGCAAAGATCAGGGCTTTATGAAGGAAATTTGAGGTTTATTATATATCCGAAGTTAAAAGTAGTTGTTAAATTTGTTCTTAGAAGGGTCTTTTGGAAGATTAGTGAAAATGAGGCCTAAATAAGAAAGAAAAATACGCTTAGAGTCAGATCTGAAAGTTTTCGTATCTATAGAAGTATGGGTGTTTTTCTTTGCTTGTTTTAAGATCTACATGTTTCTTTTGGTTTCATACTAAAATAAACTCATCTGAAATAAAAGGAAGAATGATCAGTTAAGCTAATGCGGGAGAAAATTTTTGGCACGTTTAAAAATTAAAAAAGTCTGTTCCATTATAATCCTAAAAAGTAATTCTTCTCTTTCCTCTCTCTGTCTTTACAAAAGAATCCAAATCACTTCTGTCAGCTATTTTCCTTCTTTGATCTGAATTACCATGTGTTAACTGCACGTCTCGTTCATTGCCTGCTTGGCAGCAAATGTCTGTTGCAGACAGGGCTGCCTCCTTCTCCCAGTTCTTTCAAAATTGTGTTAATGTGCAGAACACCTCTAATACATTATAAAATTCCAAAATGTCCTGTTTCCAGGTGATAGGCTAGTTCCTGTATCATTTGTGAATCAGTGTAAAAGAAAATGCCATTAATTTGCGCGTTCTGGATCTGTTTTCCCTCTTTTTTGTTTCATAAGTGACTCTTCTGCTATTTGAAAATAACGACGTAGCTGACGAACGGTTAAATGAGCAGCTAAACACGATCGGTTCTTCCTCTGACAGAAACTTGGAAGCGACCCTTAACGTGTTTTCCATCTTTGAAGTATTTTCCCAGAGTCCCTTCGGTGGCTGATGGCTACGCAGCAGTTTGAGGCCTCCAAGGAACTGATCCTCCAGTTCACGCACAAGAACAGGATGAGCACGGAAAGCGACATCAAAGGAGTGGTGCCCGGTGAGTAGGACGGACGGACGGACGGACAGCCGCAAATCCCTCCGCTCAGATGAAGTTGCTCACTCTTTGCTAAACGCTGCACATGGCATTGCTGCCCAGAATTAAATCATCGGTTTACTGCCTGTAAAATCATCCCGTTCATTCATTCGCTCGTTCGTTTTGCTTTCCTTCAAAAACCATTCCAAACTCCAGCACTGTGTTTAAAATCACTTGGCCCGTTGACCAGCCCTAGCAATTGTAGTCTCATCTTGCAGTGCCATATGTCTTTAGAGACATCTCTGGAGGAATTTTGCCGTGGCTACGGAGTGCACCTTCAGCCCTGTGTGCTTCTGGAAACGGTGTTTTAAGGAAGCTGCTCGCTGGGATCCTGCCCACCACACAACACTGATTTTGTTGGTACCTAAACCACATTAGAGTTTCTCTTCAAAGCTTTGCTCCAAGAGACGTTTGGCTTTCCTCTCCTGCATCATTGAGTGATGCTGCTGTTGGGGGTGGGTGGGGGCCAGCAAGCAGCGGCCCTAGGGTGCAGTTTTTGGTTGAGAGTCTGAATTGTCGGTTCCTTGGTTTACCGATGCTTTTAGAAAGAGCTGACTCCTCTTGTCACCGGGATTGTCACCGAAATAGCCATGCTGCTGTCTCGCAGGGCACTTTGCAGAGGAGACAATCTCTGTGCGTGTGTGCCTAATTACAACAAAGGCAATGAGTTTCTGGATCTCCATCTCGGCACGAGTCAGATTTGGTTCGGGCTCCTCATTTCCTTCTCCCAGGCCTGACGATGCCCATAAACACCCTTTTTGCACCGTCACTTGTAATCTGTATCAGACCACCCACTAGCCAGAAAACAGTGGAAATGTTTCTTTTTCCCCACTTTTTTAAACCCTCTCGGCTCCGACTGGTGGGGCTGCAGGGAGACCTCACCCAGTAGCTCTGCCCATGGGTGGGGGTGATGCTTCTTGCACTTGTCTGTCTCTGGGGTAACTGTAGCTTCAGTCAGTGCTAAAGGCATCAGTCAGCACTGGAACAGACTTCATCCAGAATAGAAAAACGTCACCACTAACATCAGTGCCTAACGAATGAAGCATTGTTCATCAGCGAGGGGTGAAAAGATCCGATTTGGGTCTGTGGTATCCATGCCCAGGTCACTGCTGTGATTTCTGGTGCAGTTGGCAGACTGATGTTATTTAGCTTGTTTGCGTGTGAATTGTGTATCTAGGGTTACAGTTCCTGGATCTGCATGGCACACAACATAGCTTTGCAATGTAAACGTCATTTATCTGGTAAAGTTCTGAAAAACTGGAGAGTATGTGAGCAGCCATTAACCTGGTGATCTCTATCCCCCCTCACCTCCTTTTTGCAGATCTTCCTCAGAATAAGTGATGGATCTTGTAGAAAACTTATCTCTGAGGCAATGAGATGTCTCACAGTTGGACTTGGAGTTTCCCAACCAACTCTAAATTTGGCTTTTCTCAGCTAGTCAGCTTCTTGAGTTTGCAGATGAAATAAAATGTACTTTAGAGGAAAGAGAAAATGAATTACCTGAGTTTGCTTTAAGGAAAATGATAAAGGTGCAGCTGTGTGCTAGAGGGATTTATTTAAGCCATGTATAATGATATTGTCCATGGAGGAATGCAAAGTATCAAAATGGTTTTATGACTATTATTCGTGACCGATTAGTTTTTCCAGCAGTTTCATGGTAGGGGTATATTCCTGTTGAAGGAGGGATTCCCTTTCATGTGGAAAACAGAGCGTTATTACACATCTTGATGCTATGGATTCTCTGCTTGCAAATACATTTAGATATAGTAGTTGTCAGCACATTACCCTTTGCAAACTTTTAAGTGATACAGAACATGGTCATTTCTGCTTCCTTGCTGATGCTGGATTTGTTTGGGATGTTGCTGAGGTTTTTTATTATTTCTTCCCTTAGTTTTTCTCTTTAAACTCTCTCTGCAACCCCACACATTAAGGCTTTCCTCACCCAGCTCTGGAGGGATGCTGCATTTCTGTGGGGAGAGTAAGAGAGGAGCAGTATCGAAAGGATGAAATGAGCTTAACTAAAAATTTTGGAAGAACATTCTCCTTCTGGGTACATGGCAGTGTTGGTGGTCTGAGTGAGGCCAGGAGAAAAGTGGAAATCCCAATGAAGAACACGATCAAGCCGCAGTCCATGTGTCTTCCAGTGGGTCCATAAGCAGAAGAAAACATTTCTCTGCTTTTGTGTGTTATAATCACATACCCGTAGTTGCTGTAGCAGGCAATGGGTAAAAAGCTGGTATTTGCCTGGGAGAAAGGATGCCATTGAACCTGATGCAGATATCCCCTATTTCCCCTGGATTCCATTGTTGAGGAAGTGGAAGGGGTTTTGTTTGTGATTTGTTTTATTCTTTGTTTTCCATCTGAAAGGACTGGAAACTGTTTTGCTGTAGTTAGGGGCCATTGTGTTGCTGTTTATTATTCCTCGCTGCATTGTCCTAACAACCTTCTGGGATTGAATTACTCCCGATACATTTAGATGATAAAGTGCTCACTTGCAGTCCCTTCCAGCTGGAAACCCCACTGTAGTTTTACTCATAGGTACCAGTCAAATTAGCGTATCCTGGATAACAGATCATTACAAGAGTTACAGTGGTTTCGTATGTACCCATTTGGGCAACCAAAACGAGTTCCATAATAAAAAGAAGCAGCGTTCAAGCGGGTGAAGTGTTTCTGAAATGGAAGAAAATGCAATTTTGAATTGCTGTCCAAGCAATGAACAGGCTTATTTTCTCATCTGAAGAGCCACACCATCCCCATTGCCTGCTGAAAGCTTTTACTGGTCCATTTGGCTACGTTGCCCATAGTGGAAAGGGCCACTAACCTTCTGTGAGGCCTGTTTGCTCCATAAGGTGTTGGCTCACACTTTGAGTGGGAGAAAAAGGAAGCAAAATTTATCTGCTGGTTTTTAATCAATCCATAGGGTGAGAGCAGTTTGCCCATGCTCTTCTGGGAGACGTCTTTAAAGAGAAGAACCAAATGTCCAGACAGTGGTCTAGCTGCAGTTGAAAGGTCCAGCAGCTGTGGTCACAACCCACATCTGGAGAAAATCAGCAAGGGCAGTTGATGGGCAATGCTCAGCCAGCAAGAGAGTAGACACAGCTAACAAATTAGTGTGAGACAAGGGATGCTGATAGGAGCCCAGAGTGTTGGAAATTAACATTGCCCTTATCTTCTCAGTAACCTGCCCCAGGGATGTAACATGATATCTGTTGTTGGTTGCAAAACCAAAGGAGAGCTGCCCCCTCAACAGCTTTAAGTGGCTTTATTTTTGAGTGATCAGTGCACCTTGTGATTTTTGGCAGGAATAATTAGCCTTCTTAACGAGATTTTCAGTTTTATGTGGTCATATTTTCTTTTTAATGCGTAAGAAATCTAGGTGTGCTAATTAGTCCTGGTTAAATCGTCCCTAATGTTTTGAGTCTCAAAATTTCGCCGGTTGGCTCAACACTTTGCCCTCTTTTAGAAATAAAAGTTTAAATTCATTTTTGCATCAAGGGAATGATTTTTATCCAACTGCATATCGAAGTGTCATTTGTGAAACAGGCTTGGTGAGTTTTGTCAACAAATATTCCAAAACATTACCCCAAAAAGTCTGCTTCAATCACGAGCAAATTAAATACTTTGATAATATTCATTCAGTACAGGTTTTTCACTGCCAGTTTCTCCAAAAACTTCGCCATCTCTTCCCTGTTCTTCTGGGGAACAAGGAACAAGCATACATTTCAGTGCAGCTGCAGGACAGTCGTTTTGACCTGATTGAAATAAATGCTGAGCCAGCATGGAGAACAGGAGGAAAGAGTTTTTAGGGAGATTGGAAACCCAGAGCACCAACGGTCCTTACGCCTTTGAAAGGTGTGTTGTTTAGATGGCTTTCGTTATTTTGGTAGGACGCATGGTTTTTAACTCATGTGGGGTGAAGGATCTGTTGGTTGGCAGGAACAGACCAGCTGCTGCGAGCTGATCTCCGCTGCACCAGCACCCGTTGCCCCGGCGTGTCTGGGTGTGCTGGGAAACACGAAACGCACTGCTCAAGAAGCCGTATCAGCAGTTACCTGAGTGTCAGACTCCATGCTTCCATGGAAACCCACCCTTGTGTGGTTCTCCTTCTCTTCCCCTGTGGTTGGAAACGTTTCCGATGCTCCTTAACTTGCTTGACCACACTGAATAACAAAACTCCCTTTTTGCTCATCTCTAGATGATAATTGGAGTGCTCCTGTGGACAGACAGGTTATCGCCGTTCCTCTCCAAAGTTCCTTTCTGAGCTTAGAGAAATAACATTGATGTAATTACAACAGCAGCCAGCAAAGATCAAGCCTCCAAAGAGATGCAGAGGCTTTAGCATGCAGTACACGTGGAGGAAGAAGGGTTACTGTGGTGTGTCTATGTGTCGATTGCAGTAAGGAAAGCTGTTGGTTTCAGGGGCTTTCCTTCGAATGAAAAAGAAAAAAAAAATATCATTCATCCTTCTTGCTACTTAGCAACATGCTGCCATAACTTATTTTTTTATACATAAGCTAGTTTCCTGGTTTGTTTTGCTATGTTTTGTTTGTGGTTTTTTTTTCCTAAGCCTGAGGCTTGAATCTGCGTACTTGCATGTTTTTTTCTTTCATTGGGTAAATAGCAGAGGGAAGGGTGAAAAAGCCTTATATCTGAAAGTCAGTCTCTTAGAGATTAACTCCCTGCAAAGCTTTTCTCATATCCTTAGACAATCACACCTACAACTACGCTACTGTTTTAAAGCTTGTGGTGGATGAAGAGCCAGGTGTATTAGAGAAAGAAAGGGAGTTCCCTGGCCCCATAATATAGGTCACTCCATGTGATGCTAGTGTGTACAAACCTGCCAGATGTGTTCCTTTACTAGATCCTGTTTCTTGGCTGTTAAGTGTTGCCAAACTTAAACATCCCATGCAGGTCCCAGGGGGCAGTCAGGTAAATGCGGGAAATTTAGTTAAAACAGTTCAAGG